CTTTTCTTGCTTTGTTGTTTGGTTTCTGTGATTCTTGCTTTTACGTTTTCATTCCGAGAATGAGAATGCTTGTGAGCTAGGTAGCAACACTCTCTGACGGGGTGGGGGGAGGGGGGGGTTATAAAACTAGTTTCTCCATGTTTTTGGTGTGTTAAAAGCACTGACGGGCTGATATCAACATAACCTAGTGCGAAGGACACAGGACTCCTGAACTACCAACGAGAACTGAGCTAGTGTGTATATTGGCGGGGTCTAGGGAGACTAACATTAGCATTACCCAATAAATAATTTCATGTGAAATGGGCTGTCGCCACAAGGTCACTAAGAACACTAAACAAAAAACGGTTACAAATACCAGCATTGAAGAGAAAGTTTGAATAAGACCATGTTGGATTATATTGACAGACAAAGAATGAAATGGTTTAGCCATCTAGTGAGAATGCAGCCAGACTAGACTGCATGTGAGACTTTTTACAATAGAACATCTAGTAGGAAGGCGAGAGGAAGACCAAGAAAGAGATGGTAAATTGTGTAGCTGATGCCTGCAAAAAGATGAAAAATCCGCCACTCATGCCACCGAGAAGCTCAAGACAAATACAGAAAACCGTGACAAAGGGCTCCTCCCTGGTAACAGTGAGACGAAAAAGGTAGAAGTAAAAAAAAAAACTGCCCAGATCCTCTGCCTACCCTGGCTAGAACAGTCTTTTGAAATATGGATATTATGTCTGTTCCGCATTAAAAAGTCTTCACTGCATCTGGTTAGTTGCATATCCTTTACAGGACGCTGCAAAACCAACCCTAACAGCCCCTGGCTGTTGTGTGATTTTTCTAGGCAAATTTACGTCCAGGTTCTTCACTGTATCTACTCTATGATAAAGTAGCTCACCGGCCTGAGAGGCGATAGCAGCTTACATATCTGCCTGTTCATCACCCTGCATTTTAATGTTAATGTCCTAAGACATACAATCCACTAATGGCTCCAAATGCGGATCACCATGCGTAGGACACCAGCCTGTTCCTCTTTTGCTTTGTTCATCAGCTGTAAGCTCCGGCGAAAAGTCCTGGCAGTTAATCAGTTATGGCTTTGTGCCAGGGCATGAGTTTTGCGTGTACTTCATTTTACTGGCTTTTGTGCGTGCAGTTGCTTGTACCTTGCCGATCAGGCAGATGCACTCCTATTTCGGAGGAAGCTCACTATTAGTCGACTCCTTCCACATGCTGGATGGGGAGGTATTAAGTCTATTTTTGTTTTCCACACAATAGAGCTCCGGGGGCCAAGCAGTGAACACGAACCTTAATTTTTCGAAGCATGGTCTCAGGGCCGTCTCAACGCATGGGCCAGGTGGACGGTTGCCCGGGAGCACCATGAAAATAGGGAACCAATGCTAATCTACGTATTAAAGTAACTCACAATCAATAAGAATATGTTTGATATTTAAATTAATTCAATGTAATTGAAAGCCGAAATGTTCTTTTTCTCTATCTATCCATCCATTCATCTATCTATCTATATCTCTGTCTTTCTACCTTCCTACCTGTGTGTCTGTCTATCTGTCTCTCTACTGTCTACCTGCCTATACTGTCTGCCTGCCTATCTATCTCTATCTATATCCCACACACACACACACACATATATATATATATATATATATATATATATATGTATGTGTGTTTTTATATATGTGTGTGTGTTTGTGTATATATATATATATATATATATATATATATATATATATATATATATATATATATATATATATATATATATATATATATATATATATATATATATATATATATATATATATATATATATATATATATATATATATATATATATATATATATATATATATATATATATATATATATATATATATATGTGTGTGTGTGTGTGTGTTTTTATATATGTGTGTGTGTTTGTATGTATATATATATATATATATATATATATATATATATATATATATATATATATATATATATATATATATATATATATATATGTGTGTGTGTGTGTGTTTGAACAAAGAAGACACAAACAATAGATTGCACAATTTATTGCCTGGCATATTTCGCTGTATCTCGTCAGGTAACAATTACATAAATGAAGCAAATAAGTGAATCTTTTATAACTGAAGTACAATTTCAACAACAATCAAACATGACTGCCTGTTTTTACCAGGGCAGCCGTAAAGACAGAACCATCTCTTTCTGAATGCAGAGTTCCGGGCGCAGGTGACGAATCACGGAAGCTTCGAGAAATCTTAGAATTCTGCCATTTGTTGACGTATGAGGGATTTGAAATATGTTGCATTTAGTCACCATGTGTCCAGATTTTAGAAGATGGCGTGCTATTGCAGAGGGTGATCTTTGCAGCCAGTATTCTCATTTTGAATATTATTTTCCTGAGCACATTCTAGTATGGGTGGAAAAGAGCCATGTGCTTCACATGCTTTGCTGTGCCGATCTTTATTAATAATAAAAATTCTCAGAGAGAGGGATAAATGTGGACACATTGCTTCCAAAATCCTCGGAACGTCCTATCTCACTAAGGGCATTGACAATGTCTGCGTGATTTATGGGCCTGCCATCTTCAATTATTGCAGCACCTGTCTATCAGCTCTTTTATTACCAACTGCACACACAGGGGAGTTTGCAATGACAGGTCTGTGTAACCAGCCTGCCGCGACCCACCGGATCATGCTCAAAGAACCACTCAGCACACACACGCGGGAATAGTACTGTGATTCTAGCCATATAAAAGCTTGTGTCACCTCCATAGTCATGCTTCTGGTAGTCATGGAGAAGGCACCACTGGCTTTTTGAACTGTTCAAAGTACATTTTTAAGAAAAGTCTGACTCCATCAAGATCAGAACCCATGACTTTCCGATCCACAGGCGAGCGTCTAGCCACAACACCACAGTGACTTCCCATGTCTTGTAACAGCTAATTAGAAAAAGATTTACAAAGTATTTAATCCCAAAATTAATAATATAAACAGATTTTCAGAAGTCTGTAATAGGGCATATTTTGAAGCAGAGGTAGGAAATTGTGGTTAAAAGACATACTACTAGGTTTCTAGTGTTTCATCTAATATTTATTTCCTCTGCTTATATAAGTGCCAATCAATGCCTGTGAATTTACTTCTCAAGATATTTAAACGGTCTCAAGATATCTCCACCAACTGGTATTTCTTTAATCAGGAAGAAACAAATAAATATTGTTTGTGCAAGATTTTAATGAATGAAAGAAACCAACTTACACAATTTTGCTAAACAAAACAAATTCACTAAACTAAAATTCTTATTGGTCATATATTATCATTCCTAATTAATCAAAAATGAAAAACACAACCACAAATAGTACCAATAACAAAGTTAATAATACACCACATTAAACATTATATATATATATATATATATATATATATATATATATATATATATATATATATATATATATATATATATATATATACACACATGCATGCACACACAGAGTAACCAATACTAAGAAGTATTAAAAGATAACTGGATGTGGATTCTAAATTTACATGCAAAGACAGCATATCAAACTTTCTGCCAACTTAGAGAGAATGCCTTGTGATGCCACACCATACAAGTAAAAGAGAAGGAAGTAGAGCAACAGGCAGACCAAGAACAATATGAAAAACTTTACAACAGTTTGATGTGTCTTTCATCGAGGCGGCCAAGAGAGCATTAGGCAGAACCTTATAATGCCCTTAATACCCAAAACGATAAAAGAGGAAGTGAAGAAAAAGAGGATGTGGATCTGTATGCAAGGCCGATGTGGGCATACAGTGCTAGACCTATATTTGAAAGACCAAAACAGCACCTGGTGGGTGACACGGTCAACATCCTACTAGTCTTCATTACTTCCGAGGATTTCCCCTGGCCCAATCCAATACACAATACACATTTAGGACAGCATCAATCTGGGAGCCAAGATTGTTTCTGAAAAACGTCTGGTCCATTCGGATTTAAACCCACAACCTTTGGATCAGCAGGAGAGTGTCTAGCCACTACACCATGGCGGCTACCTCCAACTCATTGTACCATGTTAGTTATTTGACATCACAATGACAGTATCTGCTATGGGGCTAGTTTTACCTCATGACTATCTACAAATATTAACATTAGTTGTAAATTGTTTTACAGGACATCACAAGCCAATAGTCAACTTCACATTTAAAAGTTTGTCATTGCTTTCTGAATGGTCAGCTTTCATACCAATGTCAAAATTTATGCAAAGAAGCCTGCTGCTAAACAACCTGCAGCTGAACTGAACAAGGAATTTATAATTAAAAAAACTGCATCATAACCACTAAGTCACAGATGCTCACTCAAAAACACTGAAAAGGAAAATAACAGACTTTTCCCTATGCCTTGATGTGTATTGCATATATGGTATTAGTGTCACACTGTTATAGACCAGCTGGATCATGATGGATGATGTAGTCAGTATCCCGCTGGCCACCGTTAATTTGCAAGCCATTTCTGGTACACACTTTAGGCTGGGCCAACCTAGCAGCACAAGTCAATTTCAAAGGCATGGAAGGGAATCCTTCACTTTTGAATCTTTTTAGTACTGTCAAACAAACAAACAAACTAGCAAGCATGCAGGTTGTCCCCCCCCCCCCCCCCCCCCCCCCCCCCCATTTTTATCACTGAATATTCCCATGTGGGATCAGGGGCTCCATTTTGTAGAACAAAGAACAGGCCCACTGCCCCCTACTCCCCACATGTAGGAGCTGACTAATTAGGTGTGTTTCATTCAAAGTCTGAGCGCATCTGCCTGAGAGGCATGTAACCAAAGTCTGCATTAAAAAACATAGATCTGTAAAGCGTTGTGAATGCAAAACCCAAGTTCTGGATCAAGACCAAAGTCCAGAAGTGGACAAACAACTAGACGTTTCCGCCAGAAGTTTACCGCTGGCGAACATTAAGAAGAATCACTGAATATTTATACAACTGTCTTACATTTTATTCCCTGCTCTGGCTGGAAGGACATAATAAACCGTGCTTTCAGGAAATGGAGATTCCTCTCCAGTACAGTTGCTCTGCTGTGCTTCAGCACTGCATTCATCAGGTGAACAGATTGAAGCTACAGCTGAGTGTATTTCACTAGAAGACAGATTATTTCCTCCATTATAAACTGAATTAGTTGTTGCAAATTGGGTCTGCTGAAGTTTCTCTATGGAACATCCATGGCTACTTTCAACACTCAATGAAGGCAATGTAGACAAAGAAGAACTAGGCAGTACTGAATCCATATCTATACATATTGCTTCTTGAATAAGAGAAGGTGTCAATCCTTCAGAATTTACAGAGCTCATGCTTTCTGTCACTGCAGAACTTATGAAACTTGGCAGAACAGGTAATGGTGTTTTGGTCCCTCTTATGGATGTTGAAGATGGCAGAAGACTAATGTTGGATGTTGGAACTGATGTGGTTTGAGGTGCGGGTTCATAGTTTGTCAAATTTCCAAGAGTCAGAGTTTCAGAGTCTAAAGCTTTTGTGGGGAAATTTGAGAAAAAAGAGCCCACCGAAGGACTATCAGTGAAGAAGAAGTCAGGTGTCATAGCTCGGTCAACCACATGAGGTGAAAATGAAGCAAACATTAGTGTGCTGGCAGACTGAGACCTGTTCAGGGCAGGAGGTCTGGGGAAATCAGACATCAGGTCAAAGAGGGAATCTTCTATGAGTGAGTTGTCTGTGTCACCAAGGTCATTAGATGTGGCTGACAACATAGGGTTACCACCCTTACTAGACTGTGAACTGTTGTTATACAGATTAGCTTCGTGTTCTAAAGATGCAGAAGCAATACTCTGTGATGCACCACTTGGATGATCAGAAAGTGAGGGATTGGTATCTATTGCAGGGTGGTCATTTTCTGAAATAACATCAGCCTCTGTGTCATGCTTCTCCACAATTTCTTTTTTAACTGTATTTACATTTACAATCACAACATGACAAGAGTCATCTAAATTATTCTCCTCAATAACAGAGATTTTGAAATCATTTGGCTTGAGTTTTTCAGTTGCAGATTCGTTTATAATTTTGTAGTCAGTGCAGCCATGCTCCTTCAACATATGCTTCTTCGCTTTATACATGCTCTTCAGAGCTTTCCCACAAACCGAGCAGGCGTATCCTTGGATACCACTGTGGCGTTCCACATGTTTCTGAATTGCCAGTGGGTAACTAGTCTGAAACTGGCACAAAGGGCAGGAAAATCTTTTCTGCTTTAAATGTTTGTTCTTGGCGTGTGAAATGATCTCAGATGGATAAAGAGCTGAGAATGAACAATGGGCACATTTGTAAGGCTTGAACTCTCTATGTAGCATTATGTGTTTGCTCAAAGAGGATGTATGACGTGTTTGAAATCCACAGATGTAACAAACCTGGTTCTTTTCCTTCGAGTGTTTCTGCCGCAGATGTTTCTTTAAGGATCTCTCATACATTGATTTAAATGTACAACCAGCATGTGGGCAATAAACCATTTCGCCTTAGACAGAAAAAAAAATAGTTATTAGTTATTATCGTTTTTTTAATTACCACTACCGCTTAATACCATCTTTCCTAAATCACACATAAAGTAGTGATTACATTTCAGGTGCCAATTTTGGTAACTTTCCAAGGGTTACTCTTCTTTTAGAGAGGAGCAGCTGGCCAAACTGTTATGAACACTGGGTCTATGGGAGACCTGGATGTGAATCCTCTGTAAGGTTGGGGATTTTTTCTACCCGGGGCAAAAATATTATCCTAATCTGCAGTCCGTAGTGACAGCACTAGCCATGCTGCCTCAAATCCTCAGGCTCAAAGACTCCCCTTGCCTACACTGCAAAAAAAAAAAAAAACATAAATACAAGCAGTAATGGCAGCTCAGGTTTTTTTTCTCTTCTTTCAGGAACATATCCTTGTTTCAATTTGGTAGGCTCAGTTATTTTTCTGTCTTTTTCTTTAGAACTGTTTTTGGTTGGATACTGCAGCCCTTTAGAGAAGCAAGTAAAATGGTAACACTGCAACCTGCCATACATGTCATAAGAGGTTACTAGAAAGCTGACATGGATCTTGCTACTCCATCCAATAGAAAACTTTAGTTGCAAAATCAAAGCCACTATCAACAAATCTAAAGCAAACTCAGAAAAAAAACAAAAAAACTAGCAAGCCAAGATGTAATTAGTTAGTTGGTCGAGGTTTCAACATCCACACAGACTGGTCACCCCATAACTTAACTGTTTCAGTGCTAGCGGAAATCACACAAAATGTCTGTCACTGTCTCATTCGAGCATGTTCTTCTAGAGAAGTATGACGTAATGATGAGAAATTCATAAGGAGTATGGTTCACTGACTTGTCTCGTCTCCTTTTACCTTGAACAATATGCAGAATTAGCACAACTAATATCGATCTATATATGAATTTGAAAGACACCACAAGTAGTAAGGAAAATTAAATACTATAGGATTATATGTTGGGATCTAAAATGTCTAAACACAGAATGAACCGTGTTATTCTGAGAAATCAGGAAAATGCCATCTCTACAGATAACTTCCATCTGATGTTATCATTGTTCCAAGAAGATTTATATGATTCATATGACACACACACACACACATATATATATATATATATATATATATATATATATATATATATATATATATATATATATATATATATATATATATATATATATATATATATATATATATATATATATGACCTTAACTGTATCATGTACCATTCTGATAAGCACAGCAGTCATGGTTCACCATCTCACTTGATCAAGTCTCTCTCTAACCAGGTCTGTGTTCTTAACCTGCTTATGCCATTTGTCAAAGCAACCTATATTTATTTCTTTACCTTCCGTTGATGCGAGAGGGCTTCAAATGGAAACCTTAAAAGTGTGGTAAAAATTTTAATAACTATAAAGTAAATAAAGGTCCCTTTTCCAAGCCTTTGGGCATATAGGGCTAGACCTATATTTTATAGACCAATCAGCACAAGATGGGTGATGTGGTTAGCATCATGCCAGACACCTTTACTTCCCGAGACTGCACCTGGTACTCACTTAAGGCTGGGTCGACTTGGGAGCCAAGGTCACCTTTGAAAAAAGACCGGCTCCACCAGGGGACACCCGTAAATAACCATGCCACTGTCTTATGACCTATCAACATTGTGGTTAAGGATGTCATGCATGTTAAGCAATGGGCATCTGCATCACAGGGCAGATGAACATGGTGACATCATTATAACAGATTAAAGATGGTCACCCCACTTTTGACATGCACCAAAGAGAATCAGTGTTTCTGTTATTTTTTTGTTTTGTTAATCAGTCAAGGGGTGAAATCTACAGAAATTCATCAGTGAACAAAGGTCCAGTAAGATAATGCATGCCTGTCAGTTCTGTAGGAAGTTTTAAAAAAAACGTGACTTCTGTGACATACTGTTAACGGTCGAGTCAGGTGCACCGAGTAGTGACCCCAGCATTGACTGCAGCCACTGAAGGCCTTATACAGGAGAACCACTAACTGCTGGACTGACAGGTATACATCATCACAATAGACTTTTATTTGCCAATCAATTTCTATAAGTTTCCTCCCTTCAATGATTAAAAAAAAGTGGAACACTGCTTCTCTTTTAGTCATGTCTGGCATTATGACACCGCAATGTCACATGCTTAACACTCTTGACAACCTTAACAACAATACTGACAGGTAACAAGAGAATAGCACTGTTATTGTAATTTCTATCACATTTTTCAGGTTAAATTTTAAGCCTCTTTTATTTTCACATTAAGTGTGCCTACCGTCATCAAACTTTCCAGCTTTGTCTCCTTATTACACCCCAACATATACTGTGCATCTCAGTGTAATGTTTCTGCTTACCTGTGTGTTTCCTCCTGTGTTCTTTCAATGATGCTTCATTTCTAGCACTGTACCCACAAACATCACACTGCAGTTTTATCTTTCCAGTTGTTTGACAAAAATCTGAAAATCAAGTAAATTATTTACAGAACTTAAAGAATTTAAATGAGTTTACACAGTACAGCACATAAGTCAAAGCTTTACTAATTCTTCTTCTTCTGGGTTTGAATTCACAGTCAGGACACTGCAGGCATGATAACCACATGCATAAAATAATAAAATAAAGACTGTAAAGCTCCCACAGTGTGCATGTCAGATGGAACGACAAACACCTGAGCACATTCTGCAGGCCTATCCTTATACTTACAACTACGAAGAGAAACCTGGCCTCAAGCTATGGGGAACCATGAGGGACCTGCAACTGACACTCAAGTTCATAGAAGCACCCCCCTGACGGTCTGACCTCAGCAAAGGTCGAACACAAAGAAGGAGAAGATTTCACAAGAAAGCAGACTTTAAACAAAAAATTACCTGGGCTTCCAGGTTGACACAGTCTAAAATGTGTAACAGGAAATGTCCTAAGAAGTAAAAGTGCCCAGCTTGGTGTGGATCACACCATCCATCGAGAGCCAGTTGGTCTATACACGTATGAAATACGCAGGACATTTTTTTTAGGTAATAATTGCTAGCATTAACCACAAAGAGTCATAAAAGGATGCTGGGAACACCAGAAAGTTTCTATTACAGCAGCGCTGAAAAAAAAAATGCAATAAACATAAAAACTTTGCAAACTGTTGACTACTGCCAGAGAAAAGGCCCAGAACATATATATATGTTTTAATGCAACACTTGCCTTTTTCTTCCCTTTTCTCCTAGGCCATGCTATATATGTTTTCAGGCATACATATATTTACAATGTTTTAATTCTCTCTATCTTTCTTGTCTACTATTAGTTCTATCAACCCTTCATCAATCTGCCTTGTGTAATAGGAACTGTGATGTTGGTATTTATGAAACCATTTTTGTAACAACACCAAGGTCAGACATTTAAGGTACTTCATCCACATAAAGAGAAACAGATCCTCATTAAAGCTTGGTCTAGACGGAAAAGTGGAGGGAAGGCATACAAGAAGAAGACAATGTAACATGTGAGTGGACAACATAAAGAAATGGATCAGAAGAAGCCTGACATTTGCACCATGAAAATGTTGAGCAGAGGATGTTGGAGGCACAATACCAGTCTTTAAACTATTTCAGTATATGAATCCGGCGCAACATGGGTCGCAGTTTTGTAAAGCTTCAACCCGGCTGATGTCGGATTCACTAAAAATAACCAAATGGGTGAACAGGGTTTCTAGGACTTGCGCTCGGTTGTTTCTCATCCAAATGTGGGCACTTTGTGTCAACTGGTCTTCATCGCTCATTGTGTGGTCCTGGTGGAGTTGAACACCACTCATTTAACTCTTTCTAAACCAAGAAACTAAGTACATGTTTGATTCCTCTATAAACTGTATTAATTTCCTAACTTCTTCTATCCAGCTGTTTTGTTACATAAACCCATTCAATCTAAAATGTAATTTCTCCTTTTGACATACAGCTTTTATTTTAACTCATAACAACTCTAGGATTGGTACTATAAACTACCTAATTTTGGGGTTATAGAGAGTTCAAGTAGCAACTACTTGGTACAGAAAGAGTTAATGATGATGCTGACTTTTACAATTTGGCATACATAAAATAGAAATTTGAAAAGTACAACATCATATTTATAGTTTGCCATTATATATTATGTGTCACACAAGGCTCACAGTCTACATTTTGTTCTATCGTGTGCAATCCTTCTAATAGAACATTTGTTTTCTTCACTGCCATCGGCACGTGGTGGGTGATGTGTGGCATGCCAATCCCCTTTACTTTTCTAGGACACTACATTAGAACCTATTTTAGGCTAGCTCAACCTGGCAGACAAAATCAGTTCTGAAAAAAAAAAAAATTCCATTACGTGGATTCACACCAAAGACCTTCAGGTTAACAATTAGCTTCAAATAATTTGCATTCACAGAAAATATACGGGGAGAAGTATTTATAAGAGTACAGACACAAAATTTATGTCAGGTTTATAGAAACAATCTTTCAAGTTGAGTATGATCAGTTGACGTTACCACAAAAAGTTACCTGCATGAGATGATGCAATATGCTGGTCAAAAACATCTTTCCTGGAAAACTCTGCAGCACAAAACTGACAGAGAATTTTCTGCTCCCCATGCTTCCGCTGTAGATGTTGCTTCCACTCTTTGCGCCAGATTGTAGTGAATGTACAGGACGCACACTCAAAGACTTGACCATTGTTGTGGGAGGTTAAATGTCTTAGCATAAGTTTCTCAGATTTAGATTTATGTGAACAGAGTTTGCAGACATAAAATGTGTCTTGATCAAATTTTGATATGTCACATTGAGCATCCAGCTGTTCCTTGCTCTGCCTCTGCAACTCCTGTTCTTTTTTCAAAAGATCTTCTGAGGCATTAGCAAACGTGAGATCATTACTGACTACTATACTATCATCAGAAGGAGAAGAACTTTGTACAGCTGCTGATTCCACAATGCTGTTATTAAGTTCACTGACACAACCTTTGGGATCATATGAGACAAGTGTGGCGTCTGATGATACTCTACAGTTTTCTGTCACGTGTAAATTCACCTTCTTTTCTGTTTTAGCTAATGGATGACTAGTTTCAATTGTTGTCTGACATTCTTTATTTAGAAAATATGGATGTTCCCTGATGTTTGTTCCATTTGTTTCCTTGTTATTCTTTTTCTCATTCAGTAAATCCTGATTTTTGGATTTCAAAAGCGAATTTAGTTGGTAAGGTGGAAAATCCTGAACACACAAGGACAACAGTGCTTTGATTATACTTTGAGGCAAAACTGTTTGCACATGTAAACTGGAAATGGCATGTCTCCCATGCCTGTTTAAACATTTTTTCAAGTTTGTGAGGGCGCTGTAATCAGCTTTATCACAAACAAAGTATTCAAATAATTCTGTATTCTTTAACATAAAATTTCCCCTGCATGACTTTAAATGAGATTCTAGAATTTCACGAGATTCTATCTTGCCAGTGAAGAGTCCTCGACAGGTCCAACAAACTTTACAGTCTGTCATTTTAATATTTTGCTAATCTAATTGGTCATCATCTGCAAGTTTGGTAATTTGAATAAGATATGCCAGGAAGATCCATTGAACTAGGTCAACTTTCGATCGTGATGCAACATACACCTTGATTTAACAGTACATGCATCTGAAAAGATAATAAATTAATTTTAACAAATGCACAAACACTTGTATCTAATCAATTATTAAATATTTAAACATGTTCACTTTTACGTGTGTGTTACCATAATGAAAGCAAAGAATTGTAACACAGCTGCTCGTGTGGATTCCTGGACCCCATCGTAAAGAAGCGGAAAGGGGGGGGGGGGGGGGGAACGAATAGACCAAACGCCCCTCTAATAAGCATGTCATAAGAGGCGACTAATGATGTATGTTTCCTTCGAAGTCAAAGTGCATCTGCCTGCGAGGTGAAGAACCAACAGTCTGCACACAAATAAGCCAGATCTGTTCAACAAATGCACATGCAAACTCACATTTTAGAACAAGACCATATTCCACATGCGGAGAAACAACCAGATCTTTCCGCCAGTGAATGCTAAGAAAAAAACAAGCAGTGAATGTTAAGAAAAAACAATCTTAAAGAGTCCTAATGAGTCTCTACACTACTGGGTGCTTTATTAATATCCTACCCCAAACTAGGGAAATCCACAGGTCACGGGACAGTCTAATATTTCAGGGGGTGGTAGGCTGCATGCAGTCATGGGACCTAGGCTGCACTCTCTTGTGGGACGTAGGTGGGTTGGGATTAGAGCCAGTTCTAGATGTTTGGTGTCGTTAAAAGCATCAGAAAGCTGGGAAACCCAGTCTTACCACCCTCTAAAATGTTTAACTGTCCTGTGACGTTATCTGGGATAGGATATTAATAAAGAACCCAATACGGCCCAGGTATTGTGGTATGGACAGGAAAAGAACAGTGACTCATTTGCCATCCCATTGCACAATGGAACACTGTCATCTGCAAAGATGTCCAGGACTCATAAATGATGCACAGATGTGAACAGAAACAATGACATTAAACTACGCTTCTCTGAAACAGGTCACTACACACATGCTCATTTTATGGCATTTACAGAAATGTGACAACAGATATGCCAGGTTGGAATGAACTTGAATATTACTTTGCGATTTTAATACCCAATATTCACATTTGGTGTATCTAATTTGTTCCTGTAGTTCTTAAGAATTATCTATAATTGGCATAATTTGCACTAACATTGAATTATTGTAGTTTGGTTCTTATTTGTGCAGTTATGTGGCTTAGAGACTGGTGAATAGTTTGGTTTGATTTCTGCCGTGGATGGTTTATTATTAAACAAAACTGCTTTTATGGTTTTTGGACAGTTAGTATAAGAGACCAGAGGATATTACTAAAAGTCCACATGACAAAATTCCAGCTTGAAACCAGGACCTCCAGCACTCAAGGCAAATGCCATCACTCAGAGACCTGCAGCAGTGGGTATCACATTTCAACTTTTACTCTCGTAACCACAGAGAATTTGTGTGTGTGTGTGTGAGTGCACACATGAGCAGTTGATCATATATACTTCTATAATGAGGGTTTTGAAAAACTGATTCTGTGCTGGGAACAGTGTAATGATCATGTAATCACACTTTCAGCTACAAATGGGTCAACCTACAGTTGCTCCATTCCTGTTCCAACAAAAACTACACAAAATATTCAACACTGTCCTGTGTGGAAAAAATTGACACAGACACTGTAGTCTTATCAAATCCAATAGCATACAAGAACATTAAATGCATAAGGCAACTGTCAGAAGTGCCAGAACCAACCGTACGACACTAGAAATGCAGTTCATTGTCAATGGAAGCAGCAGTTACAAGAGATCAGTAGTCGCACAGGTGATAAATTATATAAGGCAATACCACTTCTGTGGCAACAGGCCATTCGTCATTTTCTGAATCTACAGTTCACAACAACAAAAAACATGCTGGGCACAGCTGAAAAACATTCCATAGTGGCAGCTTACAGTGCAGTGCCATGCACTCAACTCAGTAACTGGGCAACGAAGCTATATCCTTTCATTCTACATATGGAGGACAATGCAACGACCAACTATCCGACATCTCCCGACTTTACCTTTACCCGGCACTAAAATGGTAATATCATATCTGAGATATTATTATTATCTCCGCTTAGAATTGACTTACACAGGCTTCAAATGGTTGCATTTGTAATTTTAATCTTTATCTAACCGTGACGGTTTCATGAGTAAAAACCCAATATATAACATTTCACTAGCATTCCTAATATTCATCAAACCTTAAATTTAAATAAATTAAAAGTTAATCAGCATATACACCATACACTACACTAATAGTAATAATAGTAGTTAGTAGTAGTACTACCGGCGGTAGTACAGTAGTGTCCGAATATTAATTAATCTGAGATATTATCTAGGCTTATAAATGACATAGCCATTTCAGTGAGATACCGTTGATTTTTTTTTTTTTTTCAGGAGCTATCCGTCAACATTATTTAATGAGAATTCAGAAAATGTTGACTAAAGCACCAGGAAAATGTGAATATTATCTCACTTGGTGATGTATTGTTAGCACAGAGCAACGGCGCTGCTTTCTACAGGATTGTCCTAACTATATTTAGAGTAACCTCTCTTGAACCTCATCACCATCACACACCCTGATTACTGGCGTGGGCGATACACCCTTTCAATATCTTGCCATTTTCAACAGCGCCAGTGGTACCGACACCAAGTAAACATTGGGGGTGGGAAAAGTGTTATCATTTGGAGGAGAAGCCCCACTACCTTCCATAACAAACATTGTCTTAAAAGGCGACTAAGGGCTGAACGCGGTGTTTATCGCTTGTGTGATGTCCTGGTGGGGTAGAAAGTTAGTTCAGTTCAGTCAAAATGGACGTGAACGCAAAACTCAAACTCTGGAGCAAGACTAAAATCCAGAAGTGAGCAAACAACCAAAACGAGTCTCCGCCCTGAGGATCTTTTATCGAGATTTTCCCATAACAATGGGATATGAAGAAAATTCGTACCCAGCCATTTATACTACCATAGTGCACAGAGGGATTTGTAGTTTTTCGGTGGCTAGAATCTACGCCTGCCGTGCTCCTTCTTCTTCTTCATCTTCTTCTTCTTCTTCTTCTTCTTCTTCTTCTTCTTCTTCTTCTTCTTCTTCTTCTTCTTACTCTTCTTTTCTTCTTCTTCTTCTCCTCCTCCTCTTCCCCTGTGTACCTCATCGAAGTGTTGGGGGGGGGGGGGTGTAACATTCGTTGATGGGCTCTATCAAGAGCACTATTAAGACTGATGTTCATTTCTGTAAGGCTGTTCTTAATGCCATCATTTTCCAAGGTCTTCCACTCGCTCTATACCAGTTGCAACGTTTTAGTTTGGCTCGCTGTGGCTGATAGTACAAGGGTTTTCTTGTTTGGTGACTAAACCACTTCATTTGTTGTTCTTAGATGACCTGTAAGACTGGCTGTATTCATAGCATTAGTCTGATTTCGTGATTTTGTATTCTGTCTTTCCTTGAAACTCCTGCAGCTCTTCTAAGGCATTTCATCTTTTTTTTTTTTTTTTTCTTTTTTTTTTTCACAATTTTACGTTCATTGGAAGATGTAAGTGTCCACGTTTGGCACTGATTGCATAGTGTTGGCCAAAATATAGTTATGTGATCGTGAACTCGAATTCGCATCAAGGCAGACTCAGGACTTTACCTCGGCTTCCAGCATGACACTGCCTCATACAGAGCCATGCATTTTATTTGAAGTAAAGACGGCTTGTGTTGTATTTTTATATTACCGACATCACCCACTGAGTTTCAACTAGTCAATAAAAATATGGGATTGCACAATTTGCTCGAGTATGAGTGTAGTCTTGGAACAGTATCAGTTCTTAACTACCGCACGGTGCTGAAAAAGAACTCCCCGAAAAAAAAGTTGAAATACATTGAACTAGTCTGTATATTTTTACCCCCTCCCCCTTTTCCCACAATATTTGATACTCAGAAATATCAATTATTGGAAAGCACTTAACGAAATAATACATCTCCCGCTTTTCCCTCAAACACACACACAGAGAGAGAGAGAGAGAGAGAGAGAGAGAGAGAGAGAGAGAGGGAGAGAGAGGGGGGGGGGGGGTGGAGAGAGAGAGAGAGAGATTAAACAGCATTGATCGGCATTCATAAAACTTTTGAAGGCATTTTTACACCAGTCTCAAATCCCAGAATATTTGCTAATGTTTTCATTTATATAATCTTGCTTTATTTATCTTCTTATCTCCGTTTCTTCTTCTGTGAATGCCAACATAGATCTGTATTTTTTATTTCGCATGTGTTTCATGCGAGTAAAGATGAATTAAAACAGTGAAATATATGAAAACAGGAAGCAATTTGTAATCAAGACATGCATCAAAATAGAGCTTCTCCAGCAAAAGCAAAGGAATAGAGGAATGTTCAAAGAGATCAGAACATTAACAACAAAATTCAAACCTTCAATGAATGTAATGAACGATACAAATGACAACGCCCTAACAGAAAGCAAAGAAATACTCGACAGATGGAAGGAGTATTGAAGAGAAATTTACAAAGATTCGAAAAAAAAAACATGCCAGAAAGTATCGAAGAAATCGAAGAAAAAGATCACGAGCCTCTATCAGAGGAAGTAAGAATAGCAATAAAGAACCTGAAATCGGGCAAATCTCCGGGATGTGACGACATAGGAACTTGGAACTTGGAAAAAAGTAAACAAAAAATGTCAAACTTAGTCGTTTTTTAGCCGCCTGAAGGCCTGCTTTATCAAGGACTGTTTCTTTGCTGTATGAGTTTTATTTGTTTCTTTGTGACGATCATTTTAGCCTAAGTTTGATTTTTTGCTGCTACAACATGTTTGCTCGTCAGGCTTGGTGGGCGTAGTCCGGCTTGTTGGGAGTGGATTAGGCAACCCTAATAAGGGCTGCCATTTTTGCCTGGGGCGGCCTGGAATGGGTGGGAATGACGAC